TTGGCCTCTCTGGCCCCTCGCCTTCACAGGTCTGTGAATTTGAATTGACGGAAAGAACCTAGCTTAGGCTCTAGCAAGGGGCCCCAAATGAGTGCGGGGCAAACACGAGGTATTTGGTTTTGGTGCCAGGTCAATCACTAGCGATTAGTGATACCCCTAACTAATCGGTCAGGGTAGCAGCAGCGGCTTTGGTGAAACCGATATACGAAAATGCGTTGTTGCGAAAATACCACAAAAAGTTTCCGCTACTTCCACTTTTTTTGTTGTGATGTCGAAGCCATTGGAGGATTAAAGGGGCGAATGTTGCAATGTTGACAGCCTCGGTATTCCAACATTTGAGTCGCGTGCGCATAATATTGTTAATGCCAATCAATTATTGTTTCTCCGCTATCTCGCGATAGTAATATACTCCGCACAATGTTTTATCTGGCCGCTGAGACCTTGGTGCCCAAGACATCTTGGAGTGGCAGCCTGGCGGTCAAGAAGTAGGTAAGCCTGTCAGCCAAGGAAGCAAAGTCCTCGATCAACCTGTTCGTGCTGGTTAGGCGCTGAAAGTTCCGAAGCTTCTGCAGTTCGCTCACACTGTCCACACCAACCTCGGACGCCCTCGGCAGACCCCGTTCCTGCTTCTGTATGGATCATGTTTCTAGCGGGCTGCCCGTTCATAACCGTTAGGGCGTGCAAAGGACATTTCGCCATCAGTGTTCCTTCTGGAAGAACATTCTTCCTTCCAATTCAGGATGGTTGACATCTGCGGTACCACCTTGGCCTCCTTCCAACCTGGGTACGAGAGCAGGCGACCCCTCGTTCGTATTTCAACACTTTGCCGGTTTCCTATAAGCCAATAGAAACACGCTAAACCTTATCTTGACGTAGAACCTTCCCGTTCAGGCATAAACACTCCGTCCTGGGAGGTGCGAAGTGGATTGACCAGGCACAGCATCTCCGTTCTTGGCACCGACTTCACACATTCTTCTTTTGAGAACTGTGTTGTGATTATCGTGTCGTTTATTCCCTGGTTTATCGTGATCATGCTCTATCATGGTTGGGATCAGGGTAGACGAGAGGAAGGGCAATGGGAGGAATGTGCCAGCTTCTCGAAAAGCATGTCCAGTTCGCCGCCAAGTTGCACTAGCTGTGCAGCCTCTCGAATTTAGCTGGGCGGGGGGAGATAACCATTGAGGATCGTGATTGTTCGAGATACATAAAGACCAGAAAGCCCGGTGCGATTCTGATACTTTTCTCCTCTGTCCGTCCGTCGCAAATCGCACCGCCCCCAACAGTCTCTTTCAAAGGAATTGTCGGATTTATCATTCGCCATGTCGAAGAACGCTCAGGACAACGTCGAAATCGCCGGGTCGCGGCAGTCGCTGCAGATCGACGAGAAGAAGAATGTCCAGGATTACACTGTCGACCTTGGGTCCGAGAAGGATTCCGCAGACGAGATCGAAGTCCTCGACCCTTACAAGCCCTTCCCAATTGATCCCAATCAGCCAGAGGAAGAGCACATTCTTACCGTCCGTGCGCTTTTCCTTGGTTGCGCTCTCGGAGCCCTCGTCAATGCTTCCAACTTGTACCTTGGTAGGTCACTCTTTTATTGGGGTCGCTGTAATAAGTCTTGAATACTGATATATTTGTCGATAGGTCTCAAAACCGGTTGGTTGTTCGGCGCTAACCTTTTCGGTGCATTGCTTGGTTTCGCCATCTTGAAGGGTATGAGCAGGTCGCCGCTCAAAATCCCAGGTCTTACTGACCACTTCGGTCCCATGGAAAACAACATTGTGCAGACCAGTGCTGCCGCTGCCGGTAAGCATACCTTCACACTTCGATTCCTCTGTACGAATCGGTTTCTAATTGTATTTTAGGTGGTATGGGTTTGATCTTCGTTTCCGGTATCCCGGCTCTCTACCATCTTGGATTGATGCACGAGAATCCAAAGGATGACTTTGGTAGACTCATTGCTATTACCTTCTGCGCTTCCCTTTTCGGTATCTCGTTCAGTGTCCCACTCCGAAAGTTCTTCATCATCAATGTCGCTAAGGAGCTGTCCTTGATTTTCCCAACTGCTACTGCCACCGCTGTCTCCATCCGTGCTATGCACGCTACCGGCGAGGGTGGATACGGCCAGGCCAAGAAGAAGATTAAGGCCCTTGGTATCTCCTTCGGTGGTGCATTCTTGCTCCGTGTGATCTCGCAATACTGTGTTGGTGTCCTCTGGGATTGGCATATCTTCTGGTGGATCTACTCCATCGCTCAGACTAGCGGAGTCGCTGCTCCTGGTGTCATCGGCGCTGTCAGCTGGGGTTGGTTCATTGAGTTCACCCCTGCCTTCATTGGATCAGGTCTCCTCGTTGGTTTGAACTCTGCCTTCTCTCTCTTCTTCGGTGGTGTCTTCTCCTGGGCTATCGTCGGTCCCCTTCTTGTCAAGTACGAAGCTGCCTTTGGCCGAGAAGTTAACCCAGAAATCCCCGGATTGATGAGCTACATGAGCATGAGCGTCAAGAACTTGGATCACGTTTCCCCCAGATACTGGCTCCTCTGGCCTGGTGTCTTCGCCATGATTCTCGTGTCGATGGCCGAATTGGCATTCAACTACAAGGTCATCAGCGCTGGCTTCGTCGCCGGTTACAAGAGCATCGTTGGTGCCTTCGGAAAGTTCAAGGGTCGCAATGCACCAGAATCTGAAGATGACTCCAGCGAGGGATCTGAGAAGGACATTTTCAGCCCCTCCGAGCAGGTTCCATTCTGGATGTGGGGATCCCTTACCGTTGCCACCATGGTCTGCATCTGTGTCGTTCTCGGAAAGATGTACCACTTCCCAATTGGTGTCTCTATCCTTTCCATCCTTTTCGCCTTCATCTTCTCTTTCTTGGCTATTCAGTGCACTGGTGCCTCCGATACTACTCCTGTCTCCACTGTCGCTAAGGCATCTCAGTTGGCTACTGGTGGTGTTACCAAGGGTATGAACATCAGCGTTGCTGATGCTCAGAGAATCAACTTGATGGCCGGTTGTGTCGCTGGTGCCGCCGCCTCTCAATCTACTGATTTGATCAACGACTTCAAGGTCGGGTACCTCCTCCGTACTCCTCCAAGAAAGCAATGGGTAAGCCTTTTTCCACTCTCTTAAATCATATTATTTCAATTTCGCTGACATTAAAATAGTACGCCCAAATCGTCGGTTCCGTCGTCGCCATCTTCATGGCTCCCAGTTTGTTCATCCTCTTCGCCACTGCCTACCCATGTATCCTCAACCCAGATGCTAAGGTCTGCGCTTTCGGTGCTCCATCCATCGCCGCTTGGCGTGCCGTTACTGAGGCCGTCACCTCCCCAGAGTTCCCAGTTCCACGTGGCTCTGCCATCTTCTCTCTCGTCTACGGAATCATCTGTGTCCTCATCTCTCTTGCCCGTCACATTCTCAACCTCAAGGGCAAGGAGAAGATTGCCAACTGGCTCCCAAATACCATGGTTTTCTCCCTCGCCCTTACTCTCCCATACACCCAATACGGTACCGCTATGATCATCGGTGCCGGTGTTGCTGCTATCTGGCAGGCAAAGGCTCCAAACAGCTGGAACATGTACGGTACCTCCGTTGCCTCTGGTTTGATTGCCGGTGAGGGTATTGGTGGTGTCATCAACGCTTTGTTCGAGGTTGTTAAGATCTCCGGAAGCTTCCACGGCAGCGGGTTCGGATGTCCCGACGGTGCTTGCTAAACGTGGTTGTCTCTCTACACGTGTCTATATGAGTGCACGCTAGATTCGCTAGCACTTAATAATTGTTTTTGTATATATTAATATTGTGCCGCTTTTGTCATTGGACGCTATATACCCCAATCGAATTGAGTTTATACTTTACCACAGTTTCCAAATCTCGCGTAGACCTTCCGTAGCTTTGTGCCATGCGACAGATGGTAAATTTTTGAGAGCTCTGCAGAGACAGCATCATGATCTACAGACTAGTTGAAGATTTATGAACGTATAGTTACAATCATGCTTTCAGATGTTTCTTAGTGCTTTCTACAATTCTAAGGCCACGCGCTGTGCCTTTATGATCTTTCATATTCTGCGATTAACGCTGTAAAAGTGGGCACGACTAACTGCCATGACATTCTGCCATATATTAGGTATTCATGTCGTAGTATACTCTGAGATTCCGACCCCGTAGGTACTTGACCAAACGCTAAGCACTAACCATTACAACTTGTCTCATAAACCAGACAGTTACCTCGTGGCAGCATGGGAAGGCCTCTCATCCGCCACTAATTTTACACTTTACTTTTGTAATATCATCTCAAAACTCATATTGCGAAAATCGAATCCCATGACCGATATATTCCTAGTAAGGGGTCTTGGCCCTTGTTCCCTCCCGCACACGCGAGAATGAAAAGATAGTTACAACCCGGGAGCGAACCTTGTCTACAACCCTATATCCTGTAATAACACCATCAATATGTCACACGTTATTTTTCTTGGAGACCCTTCTAGTCCCGGGAATTTATCTTCATGGCACCTGGGCTTTGCATCTGCACCCGAACCCTTTCAGGTGCATTTTCCTTCTTTCTCAAGAGGAGCTCGCTTCGGAGCAGCTTCTCTTCTTGCAAGCTTGCCGTGGTTCCGAATCCCGGGGGGTTTATTTAAACACTTGGCAGAAAGTATCGGCCTTTCACCCCGAAGACAATGGCGGAATGCGAAATCCGTGTTTCGACGACGAGGTGAGTTCTCTGCAACGTCTAGAAATGAAATGCGGCATATCCCGTCGCGAAGACCTGGTGCTTGGGAGTATGTGGATCATGCCAAGCAATGTTGTATTCAGTAGTCCATTTTGGGTTAACGTCGCTTGGCACCAAACTTTCAGTGGATCAACGTTGCATTGTGTTGCTTGGAAGGTCGCGAGACCATAAGGTCTGGAAGAAGCTGTCTCTTGGACCATACTAATGGTCCCGAAGGTCCTCAGAGTGGGTTTTTGTGTCGCTGGGGAGATCCAGCAATCACAAATCCGCAACGGTTTCATGGTGTAGTTGGTTATCACGCGACCTTAACAATCTCAAATCTTGAGATTTGATCGGTCGAGGTCTTGAGTTCGATCCTCAATGAAATCAGCGAGTTTATCCTTTTGCCTTCCGCTAGCAGGGGTTCTGTGCTAGCACAAAAACTTTTTTTTTTTCTAAAACGTTTCTGTATTTCCTTTCACTAGTGGCTACTACCGGGGTAATAGCGACGATGGGTATATTATAACTCGAGAGGAGATATATTTTTTTGTCGATTTATTGGATCCATAAGTGTAGGATTTCAAGAAGGTAGCATTCGAGTGGTGGCTCGAGGGAGAAATATATTAATAGGTGCTCACCCATAAAATTTAAACCGACCACACGCTCAACCCGGGTCGCGCAGGTGACATGTTTTGTAGTCATGTTCTTTCTATATACTCGTGTAAAAAACCATAAAAATATGTCCAATTTTAAGGCAATAAAACATAAATTCTCGACGGCCGACAAATATATTCAACCATACATGAAAAATCCAAAGGTTTCGAGCAAGAATCTAGCCGCTCGACCATTGGCGCAATAAAATAGTCAGGCCCCTATGACTTTATGGTTATCACAATCCATAGTGTGGTGTGTGGATGTGATAGTATATAGGCGGAGGAACTTGGTGTTGTATAATCATCTGGTATTCTTCCGCCATTTCCACCCTAGCTAAGTGGTACTTGCATATTTAAATTTGGGACCACCCCTCTGACGGACCAAATCTTATGTATATATGGGGGTTTATTCCGGTATTCCTCTTTGACTATTTTAGTAAGTCTCTCGGTCGGTCGATCCTCTTTACATCGTTCATACCGAAAAGCCAGCATCTTCCATGTTTTGGAGTCTGGAAATGCTATGAGGCAAGGTATCTAACCTTCTAGTTACAGTCAACGTTCTTATACCATTGGTTGATAGGTTAATTTATATATATATTATACCGTGATAATGCCAAACATGTAGTTTACAGACCATTTAAACGAGGTACCGGCTGCGAGCTTGTAAACCCACTATATATCTAGTCATGTACATACGTATATACCTGTTTCGACTCTCGTGATTTCTGTATGCGAGCTGCACTAAATTTTTATATTTTGAAGGCTGTTTTCGGAATTTAAATATGTGGGATTGAGCTGTCAAAGTAAATTTACCTAAGTAGGGTCTTCATATATATCGTTCGCACATGTGCGTGCCTCGTTGTGGTTGTCGACGCGCCCTCTGCCGCCTAACTTCCATCCGATTCCGACATCCACACGGTTAGTATGGTACAGGTCGAGGGGGGAAAAGGTAGAGGCAAGAAAGAAAAAGGTTGATACGTGCTCTGGCCTTCCGAAAAAAAAAGGGGGGTATGTCGAAAGCTAGTTGGGAGAAGGGCATCTCTTAAAATCTTAGACGAGGTAGGTGAATTAACTCCCGTAGGGTGTTATGGGAGGGGGGGCTGTTTCTATCTTATAAATATACTGGATCTATGGAATATGCGACGGTCTTCTCGGGCTTATCCAGGAACTTCTAGGCAATTCGGCTGGATGGGGGCATTTCACCATAAATGCATATTATGGTGTCGAAATACCTCTTAACAAGGTCATTTTATGGCCTGGAAAGCTGGAACACTAGACCCTACTAACCCAACCTACGCATTATTATAGTTACAGTATTATTTTTGTAATATATTTCATTGCTCATGTTAATAGTTCCCTACAGCTAGGTGAGGTAGTAGGGAAAGAAGTAATAGCTCGCCACATTTCAGCTCAGTACATTAATAGACAGGAAAACATGTTTTTTTTAAAAAAAAAAAGAAAAAGAAAGAAAAAAGGAGGGGCCATCCTAAACGTAAAAAAACTATTAATACATGTGGTCTTGTTATTATCCTCCTCGTCATTACTTGCATGCATCTTCCTTCTCATCACCCCCTTTATCGCAATTTGCTTCCTCGTTACCTCCCTCTCCATTCTCTCCATCCCCATCCTTTTCTCCAAGTACGTACGTAACATAATCAACGATCACCCTCAAAACCTTATCTCCCGGCATCTCTGCCATCTTTTTCCCGGTTATGCGTTCGCAATTCCAGAATACTAGTGCGATCAGTTCATCTCGATCGTGATATTCGGCATCAGGCCTAGATATTCTAGAAAAGAATGCCTCCAACATTTGCCATGCAGGTGGGCATATCGTCGTGATTATAGCTTTGTACTTCCTAATAATAGAAAGTGGGAGGTGTCCGCTTATGCCTCTCGGGTTGCGCGGGCGGGGTGGTAGTGGAGGGCTGGGCTTGGGCGCCGGGCTGGATGAAGACGTTTTAGAAGCATCCGTTGTTTTATCCGAAGGTTTTTGAGTTTGGAGATCCTTTAGTAATAGTGAAGAGTCTTGTAGTTCGGGTGGTTTAGGTGGTGTGGGCGGCTGGGGCGGTTCGGATTTTTTTGGCGTTTCGGGAAGAGGTTGAATTCCGGTAGAGGTTTCTTTTTCGGGGCTTGCAGTAGCTTCGGTAACCCCAGATTCTCCGTGTTCTTGAACAGTAGTTTCAATAAGGCGAGGTTTTTTAAGGCAGGACTTTAAGGGTCTGTCGAGGCGATGTTTTGGCTCAGCTATTGTTACAGATTTGCCAACTCGGAATTGTTGCTTTTGTCTTGGTGCGGGACTTGGGCTGGTGTTTATCAGGTCGCTCCAGTCTTCATTATCTTCGATAGTTTGTTCAATTTCGGCATTTGACATACCGCGGCGTATGCGGCGGGGTGTTGAAGGATCGGTAGGAATCTTATGTAGTACTGAAGGGTCAAGAGAGGGTTTAGACTGGGGTTTGTGTTCTGGGGGTGTTGGCAGCCGACGAGGCATAGGTTTCTGTCGGGCTCTCTTTGCTGCCTCTTCTTTCTTTTCAGCGTCTCTCAGCATTTTGTCAAACTGAATACGGCGAGGGGTTTCATATTCCTTAATATTTTGAGCTACAGCATCTCTGACGATTGCTAGTTTAGCGTCCGTCTCTTGTTGCATAGCCGCCATCTGTTTCGCACGGTATATCTCTGCAGGGCTTTGGAGGAGTTGCTCTGGTGTAAGGGGCACAACGGTAACGATGCTGTCCATTGAAGATTGTGAAATAGTTCTGATATTAGATGGAGATGGAGATTGCTGGGCTACTGAAAGTGAGCGGCCGTGGGTTGGTTTTCTTTTTTTTGCATTTTTGATTTTTTCAGGTGTCCAAATTTTCCCTGGTGGTCGGACGTACTCAGCTTTGGCTTTGTCGCTCTAAAACTTCGCCTTCTCAGCTTCCCTCCGGGCGCGTTCTTCCGCTGGGGCGAAGGGGTCGTCTTCTTCCTCATCAACTGCCGGACCAGAGAGATGGGCTTCATTGGGCAAAATGGACATACTAGCTAAGCCTGCTAATTTTGCCGTTGGTGAGTTCAACTCGGGGCCGTTTTGGTTGATAGTGCAGGGTCCTAGGTCTGCTGTATTGGCCTCTTCATCAATCTCCATTTTCTCTAAAGAGGTATCTTGGGCCTCAACCTCAGAGCCATCAACATCTGAGATTCCAGCTCTCGAAGCCATTGCTTCAGCGACCATTTTCTGTTGTTTTTCAATTGCAAATTGCCTTTCGACTTCCACAAAGGCTTCATGGATGGCGCGGGCGAGGATAATGTCGTCCTGAAGGATTACTGGCCTGGGTGGATAACGCGGAGAGGGGGGTCTTATTTCGAAGGGCGTGTGAGGGGGGTACTCGAAGAATCTGCAATCAGAACCCAACCAATTATCACGATCAACAGCTTTTCCTTTGATTGCACGCCTCCTTTCCTTCTCCTCCTCCGTTTCTTCCTCGGATTCCTCGGATTCTTCGGGTTCTTCGGGTTTGGATTCATTCGTATCCGTTGGAGGTATATCCTTTCCTGGGAGATCCTGTTCAACAAATCCAGGTAACTCGGATAGCTTAGCCACTGCATTCTGATACTGTTGCTCGTCCGTAAGGGTAGGAATTTCTGAATTAGGGCCCTCCTGGGGAGCTGGGGATGCCTTGTATACGCCGCCAGGAACCGTAATTCCCGATACACTGGTAAATGGGGTATCGGGGAAGGGAATTTTAGCATATAGTCCGCTTCTTCTTTTACCACGACCCCTGGAGACCTTGGGTCGCTCGCCTAGTTCGCTTTTCCGTCCTGCAGGCTCGATGGCGATGGGCTTTTCATCAGTAAGCTTTTCGAACTGAGATGTCTTTTTCAAAATGCTTTTAAGTGGTGTTTTCGGAAGAACCTTCAGGCGTAAAGGGCCTTCGGGCGCTGTAGGCTTCCGGATTTTGGTATTGACGCCCAGGTCACTCTTCACTGTAAAATCCGACACCGGGATTGCGAAAGTCTCCGGTAAAGTGCTCACAGCAGCGACAGGAGTATCTACGTCGGGAGTTGGTTCGATTTCCTCTGGCGTACTAAGCCCGGATACGCTTGAATCGTTGTCACATATCTCGATTATGGTCCCTTTGACTCCATCAACACGTCTCCTGCCTTGAGGGCATGAAGTCTCGAAGCTTTCCTGCAACTCAGGTGTCCACTCTTTCTTGATTGCTGCATGTTTGATCTTTTGCTTCTTCCCGCTTTTTCTTGTGACCGATTTGCTAAGCCCATCGTAGTTGTTCTCGAGTGTTTCGGGGGGCGTTATCGCGATAGCGGGGCCTGCAATAGGCCCTGGATGTGGAAGAGCGGTAGGAATGTCATGTGTAGAAATATCTGCACTGATACCTGCCTCAAAATCAACGGCACGTTCTAGAGCTGGGCTATCCAGGAGGTTGACAGGCTCCTCGATCGTCACAGGCTGTTCGGTTTCCTCAGTGGCATTTGGCGGTGGGATAGGCTCTTGCTTTGGATGAGAGACGTTTATATCTTCGAGTCTCTCATTAGGATCAGACTCACTCCCTCTTGCCGAGTCACCCGAGGTTGAGGATGAGTTGATAGAATCTAACCACTCTTGCCTTTGTTGTTGCGTAGGCTGTTGGCAACCTTCGGAGGGCATATGCAAGGGAGTAAAGGTAATTTGGTTATGGCTTTCGAGTTCCGGAGACTTGGGTTCGAAGCTTGGCGCATTCTCCGCCCCAAGGTCGA